CTCTAGCGCTCTCATTTCTCTCCAAGCTCTCTGTAATCAGAATGCTAACTTAGGCATCGGAGAGTCCCCGCCGGGAAAATACCCCCAGGTCCTCTGATTCAGTTCTCGCAGGTCCCTCAGCTCCTGCCGCCTACAAAGGAGAGGAAATCACCTCATGCAGAGGGTAGTCGAGTTGCGCTAAACCAGGGAGCTCCACCATCCTCTGAGTTGTAGGCCGCCTAGGAGCAGGTCAAATGACGAGTCCACCAGGGAGCTCGCCACCAGGGAGCTCGCCACCAGGCAGTTCGCCACCCGGCAGCTCGCCACCAGGCAGTTCGCCCACCAGGGAGCTCGCCACCAGGCAGTTCGCCACCAGGGAGCTCACCACCAAGCAGTTCGCCACCAGGCAATTCGCCACCAGAGAGTACGCCACCAAGTAGCTCATCACCAAGGCACGTCACCACCGGGTCAAATAACGAGGTACTTAGCCAAAAAAATTTATACATCACAAAAAATGGTACGTGACCAGAAACGGTTACATTACAGTTGAGGTTTCCTGTGTTTTCACCAAATATAGCTTATGGGCTGTCCAGGTATGGCCCACCTTCATAAATACAAAGCCGTTACCCGAAAGTCCTCCCAAAAAGGTTCTAAATAGTGACACTATTTCAACTTGTATATACTTGTAGAATTAGAGAGACTCCATAGTATATACAAGGTTCAAAGTATCGACATACATTAATTGATATGTATTATGTTGATGATTTTCCGATACGCCCCTACAAGAGTTGTATCAGGTCAGCTACTGATTAACCTTGAGTACAGACACAGGCCGATACACCTTCATAAATACACCGACACAGGCCGATACACCCTATTGGCCCATGTCGATATTTATAACCTTGAGTACATATAGAAGTTCAAAAAAGATTAATGCTCCAAAGCCCCTAATGCCTCTTAACCTATTCCCTCAAGAAAGAAAAAAGAAAAAAGAAGGAAAAAAGAAAAAAAACAGACAAAGTAAAAAGTGAAACACTGTATCCATTTTCTTTGTCATACTCCAAAATAAATGCGTTGGTCCTGGGACTTGGTTTATTCAAGAATGAGCAGATAAGCTGTAAAGTGCTTAGAGATAAGGATTTGCTTGTAATTGATCTGAATTTTTTTTTTTCTGGTACCACTGTTTTTTTATCCAAAGAAGTCAGAACATGGGGTATGTGCAAAAACGTGGCACTGAACAGAAAGAGAGAGAGAGATGTCAAGTTCATGTGTATGTATATACTTATTTAATAAACTATATTATACTTGTTCTTGTTAAATAATTGACCTACTAGTCTATACAAATTTACCTGGGAATGAATATTGTAAAGAAAAAAATAATATTTTACGTGCAAAAAACTCGGAAAATAAAATATATTACTTATTATTGATATTCTCTGATAAAAAAATTCTTTCTACCATTCAGCACCATTATGTAGTAGAAAAGCTTGCCATTATAGAGAGGATCAATCTAATGCACCCCAGGTCAACAGCTAAAATCACAAGGTCTTTCCCATCTGATATCAGTTTTCTTTAGAGAGATAGAGAGAGAGAGAGAGGAAATCTATGGTCTATTGACTTTTCTCCAGTCTCTAGAGTCTAGCCCTAGTTTCATTAATTCCATGGAGACCCTAGACAAAAATCCCATAGCACATGTAAAAAGAAAGAACCACATGGATCCATCTTGAAGTCATCATCTCTCAATAAAAGTTGAACTTCTTCTCAGACTCTCACACCACACTCTACGAATTTAATGGAGTAATTCCTCTTTGAATATTCTCTCTAGAATTTTGAGCCAAACGGTTGGCAACTTTACAGCACATGCTTTCAGTAATTAATTCTTTAATCTGAATGAAAATTTCAACCATTCGGAATCATTGTTCCACAAATATCAAATCTATTTTGTCTAAATACCAGAGTTTCAACCACTATTTTATAATAATAATAGTATTAATTATTCATCCACACTTTTCAATGCTGAGCTTATCACCTTGCATAATTAAGTAATGGCAGGAGTTAGAATGAGGCATTGGATGAGAAATTTAATTAGAATATTGAGTTCAGAGCCAAGTCAATATGACCAACTTGTTCAAGCAATATTCCTTGATTCTTCGCCTAATCCTTTAAAGTTAATAAAAGATCAATCCCTTTTATAAAGACTCAACCAAAATATTTCCTCCCCCAGATCAAGATATTAAAAGAGGTGATTTGTCTAATTGGATGGTTAGGATCTGCAGATGGTTTTGCTGATTGAGCCATACCTACTAAGAAAATATCAATCAATCTGGATGGGTTGCTTTGTAATGTATCTCTCTCCCAAAAATGCTAGTACCCCAATTCATGGGGTAGAAGATAAGGGTTGTATGGTTATTTTTCTTTAAACTGTTAATGCCATAGAGAAGAGTGAAGACTGTGAAGAATAATGGAGACAATGATGATAACAAATTAATAGCTGCTTTGACTTATAGCCAATGTCTTAGGATTCTGTTTTTTTCTGCTTTTTTTTTTTTTCTTTTTCTCTTTGTTTAGACATGGTTATTCTTTGGTGTCATCAAGACTTCAAAGACCCTCACAACAGTAGCTGGATGGTGAAACTAGATCACAATTCACATCTTTATGTACAGTGCAGAAAGTATCCAAATTAAATTAAAGGCAGAATCTGATCAAACTTTTTTACCTTCACAGATGGTAATTGTGTGGTCCAGGTCCAGAAATTAGATATCAAGACAGACCTTTGGTTTGGTGGGTCAAAAATAGAAAGATCAATGAGGTCCTCATTATTGGAAAATATGGCTGGCTCCCATTATTAAAGTATGAAGCACCATGTAATTGTAATAGAAGTTACTCTAGTTTGTAGAGAAGTACTGTTTGTGTAACTCCTATGATTGATTTTCTATTCATTTAAACTAGGTTTTACTTTTTAAGCAAAAATTTGTGATGCCGATTAAAACCAAACGATCTTTCTGGAATCTCTAAAAAAGGACAAGTTTGTGTTTTTATGAATGGCTTCAATGAACAAACCAACAACCTCCTGAATTTCCACGTCCCATTCTCATCCCCCTCCTCCTACAATGGTAGTTGGGTTTCTTCTCCCAAGAAGGGTAGATGAAAGAATAAGGGGACCCATATCACCCCCCTAAACTACAACCAGCTCTCCATACTTTTAAATTACATTGTCCTCTCTTCCCTTACCCCAAACAAAGAAGCTGCTCTCTCTCTCTCTCTCTCTCTCTCTCTCTCTCTTTCTCTTTCTCTCTCTCTATTAGACTCAGATACAAATAAACATGGCAGCAAAGAACGACCAACCCACAAAGAAGTTAGTGAACAGAGGAGCATGGACGGCCGAAGAGGATGGAAAGCTGGCTCAGTACATTGAAATCCATGGTGCAAAGAAGTGGAAATCAGTTGCAGTCAAAGCAGGTACTGTCTTGGTTCTTGAACTCAAATTCTAACTCATGAATTGTTATAGATGTCGTTGTTTTCATCTTAATCTCGAGATGGAGCTTGATGGGTTGCCATGTTTTAATTTTCCAGGTCTGAACAGGTGTGGCAAGAGTTGTAGGTTGAGATGGTTGAATTATCTCAGACCCAACATCAAGCGAGGAAATATCTCAGACCAAGAAGAGGATTTGATACTTAGACTGCATAAACTCCTCGGGAACAGGTGACTGGTTAATTATCATTTATTACTCAAACAAACACTAACCAGTGACTCCTAGTATATCGCTTTTCTTAGCTAGAAACAGTACTTAATTCACTTCACGATCACTTGGCCTCTGCATTTTTAATTTTCATTAATTCTTTCTTTCGTGCTCTTCTTCTAGGTGGTCCTTGATTGCTGGAAGACTACCTGGACGAACGGATAACGAGATCAAGAACTACTGGAATTCTCATTTGAGCAAGAAAATAAACCAGCAGAAACCGAAACCATGTGAAAGCTCAGCGGAGAAGCACGAACCCGAACCCCAGAAAACCTGGGAAAATACAGAAGTGAGTGAAGAAAGTAAGAAGGAAGGTGGAGAGTCGGAGACTGGTTTTAATGTGGACGACTTCTTCGACTTCTCAAGCGAAGAGTCTTTCGGTTTGGAGTGGATGAACACATTTCTTGAGCTTGACGAGGGCTTATACTTCTCGTGAACCCAAATAGTGTTTTTGGCTCATGAACTGTGTGGATTTGATTTATATCCAACTTGTAAAAACTTAGTGTGAGTGAATGAATTGGTTCACTTTCTATTTTGGTTTGGAACTAAAAATTCCATTTCTGGTGCTAATAGAGTAATGACTTCATAGTTATTGATACCCCTTCTGCAATCTGCTAATAATTTCTCAACTTCTAGAGCATATCTACAGTTCACTATAATGGACGGCGACCATTACAGACTTTTTCTTTTCTTTTCTTCTATTGATTGATTTCTCTGTCATTCTCAGTTTTCTGACCAGTGTCATAATTCATAATTCAAAGGAGTAAGGTGGACTAATGGATGGTTAGGATCATTTAGATGGTTTACCGAGTACTGTAGCAAAATCTCATTTTACCGGAACACGCCAAGGAGAAAATGCATTCTGTTAAGAATGTGATACGTTCAGAAACTAGTATGCTTGATTATTATTTTTAGTGTTTCAAGAAGCTAAGAATCATGTGAACAACCTGAGCACAGCATCAACCCCAACATCAAGAATATCTCTTGTAATTGTATGTTAAATGGGGTTTAATTTCTTTAAACAGTCTCTATCTGGTTAGCTCACATGTACTTTGTATTTGGTCTCAACACATGGTCCCAACAGCCATCGCAGCATGCAGGGCTGCAATGGTTGTTGGGATCCTATATGAGAACCAGATAGAGACTGTTTAAAGAAAATAAACCCCATTTCTATCAAGAAAAACATGCCATGAGATATTGTTAATATGTGGTTGGATGCTAAGTGAGCAAAAACTCTGCTACTACAGTATAGAATATTTAGGGTTTGATTGGTTTAGAGTCGGAATTGAAATTATAATTGGAATGGTCTATTCCCATAGTTTATTTGGTTACGACAAGAATAAGAATGGAAATTGGAATCAACAGAAATATGATTTCATTCCCAGAAAAGGAGGCTCAAATGGGGGAATGCCAGTCCACTAAAAATAAGAATGGAATTCTATCTCCTCCCAACCAAACAATTGAAATCAGAATAGCCCATTCAGATTCAAATTTCAGACCTCTACTCCCGCAAACCAAGGGCTTTACATTTTATGTGCTGAGATTTGGTCAGGATACCGGTCTTTCATCTAATACACCCAACACGATACAAGATATATCTATATCTATACTATCCATAAAAGAGTGAATGCCCCTTCTTTCTGGAATTTTCAACATTTTCTACCCCTTGTTTAAGCATGAAATGGGCATAAATATCATTTATTCTCACTTCAGAAACTATCAACTTATAACTATTCAAAAACTATATATGAATTATAAATAGTTTTTTCTTGAAGATAAAACTGCCATATGTAAATGCACATACACATTTACTAGTATTTTCAAAATCATGAATCATCATTAACACGAGTTGACATATATGCCTCATCATCTCCCATACTGTTGTTGGGAGATGTTCTCAATACAATAGAAAGTGGGGATGTGGTGCAAGGCATTGCGAGGCGCAGATGTCAACTCCATAAAACACATGCATCCAACATTTTTCTGGCCACAACCAAGACCCCTTAATTTCATCAAATTCAATTATGAGAAAATAAAAGTTTGATGATCGGGAAGACGCATCTGACCATCAGAGGGATGGGTCCCATTTTTTCTATGATCGTTGATTGTCGTTGTTAGTGATCGTAGACCGTAGTTGTCTAAACTCTAACTGGTTCAATAGAGATGTCTTTATTTTGATCAGTTGATACGATGGTCTTGACTCTTGACTAAGTAAATGCACCCAATATCAGACATCTGGAATATTGTGTCGTTTCAAATGGGTCCCATGAGGCGACAAAATCACATGGCAGTCATACCTAGATATATTATTTCTCCTTTCTCCTTTCTCTGTTTTCTGTCCAATATTAATTTATTTCACCAAAACCAAATCACAATTATATTCACAACCGGTCAAATTGGCATAAAATGTTAGAAACTTCGAAATAAATTCCGAGGTAGCGAATCAATATGGCTACCAAACGGATGAATAAAATAAGCGCGGACGATGTTTGTTCTTATAAATAAATTTCAATACAGATTAGGGGTGTTCACCGATCGATTTGTGGGTTTTTTTTAATCGATCCGGTATTATTAGTTTTTAAAAAATCGGTAATCGAAACCGGACAGGCCGATCAATTAATCGGTTGACCGATTCAGTTGATCATCAGTTTAGTTTGTCGATTTTTAATTTTTATAATATATATTAAAAATATAATAAAAATTATAAATATATATATATATATATAAAGGATTATATTTTAAATAATAAATAATAAATAATATATTATAAATATTATTTATATATAATACATATTTATCAATTTATAATATATAAAAATATAAAAAATATATAAAATATATAAAAATATATGTATACTGGTCGGTTTGGTTAATCACTGATTTTCTATATTGATTAACTGAAATCGGACTGATATCTTCAGTTTTTTAAAATCACTGAGTCGATTAACCGATTTTTCGATTTGGTTATGATTGATTTGACTTTTCGTTTTTTTTTTTTTTATTTTGATTTCTAATCTAATCCTTTTATCGGATTGTTGGGTTTTTTGAATTAGATTGAATCGAAAAATATTATCACCCTCTATTTGACATATTATATATATATATATATCCGTTGGATCATTGGATGGGATCGATATGGAATTTACATTATTAAATTTGATGGGGCGTTAATCGCCCCGATTGAACTGCCACGTAAGTGCTTATGTGGACACTGTCCTCCCTAGACGAGTTGGCAGCATAGCCAACGTGAATTGTTGTGGAGCTTAACAACAGTGTACATCGTGGACTTAGGACGAAGAGAGACATATAGCGAACACTAGTCGAAATTCAATCTCCCTCACCTTTTGCCATGGTTTTTAAAAACGAACCGGTGACCAAACCGGTCAGGGGTCCGGTTACTGGTTTGAACAGTCTGACTATTTGACCCGAATGGTCGGTCTGTTTTGATAAAAAAATAAAAAAAAATAAAAAATGATCAAAATCGTTCGAATGGTTTGAATGATTAATCGGCCAGTTCAGCGGTTTGCTGACCAAAATCAATAGTTTTGGGGGAAAGAACAGTTTTGGAGGAAAACGGAACTGGTTAGATGACCGATTCTTGGTTTTTCCAGTCCGATCCGACCATCCAACCAATCCGATTTTGAAAACAGTGCCTTTTGCTTTGCCTTTCGCATAAGGGATATGAAACCAACCTTGGAACCTTGGTCGAGGATGACCTCGAGACATGGCACATGTCCTATAAGGGGAGGAGCACAATGATACTCGCCCACAAATATTTAAGGGCATGCCACCTGATGTAGGATCATCTGGCTAGCCCAATAACAGGCCTACACGTGTCTGTCATTGCATTGCAGGGCAAAGTCAATCAGAGCATAGGCAGAGTCAAGCTCGACGCATCTCTTGGGGCCAATCAGGGCGCGCTTAGGGATGAACTCAGCAGGTCTCGCGGGACCACTCGTTGCGTCACCTGGCGGCCTTGGATGGCCGCGCTTTGGCCGCCTGAGACCTGCCATGACTCGGCGGCCTCAAGTGTACCACCACGAAGGTAAGGGATCCAGAACTCAAGACTCCCAAATTCACCCTGAGGTTTCTTGCTCGCTCCTGTGGCTTCGTATAAGTTCCCTTGTACCTCAGCCTCGGCCACTCCACATACACATACTAACTTGATCATCGGAGTCCTTATCTCGGGTTCACACCCGAGGTCTCTGACACTGTTCCCCTTGCAAGATCTGATCCCTTGTCTTCGGCCGCCTCGGACACCTCGGGCCTTGGATATCTCGCACTTCGGACACCTCAGCTGATCACCTCGGCTTGGGAGAAAATTTACCTTATTGACCCCTCGGCCAATCCAAGCATCAACACCACCCAAGGTACATTTTGCTAGACCTGTTTATGAGTCGGGTTGCATTGGGCTTTGTATATGTATTAATAAAATACAATTAGGCCTGAGCTCGAGCCTGGACCGACCATCGGACCTAAGTCTTGAGTCCGAGCCCGACCCTCATATAAAGTCCGAAGCTTGGGCTTGAGCCTGAGCCCGACCAGAAATTTGAAAACATAAATTATTTTCTTTATTTATTCAATAAAAAAGTGTTTTATTTATATTAAAAACCTTTAAAACTCAAAAATAATAAACATCTCACTATTACTTAGAAAAAATGAGAAGAACAAAGAAAAATATTATATATATTTTATTAAATAAAATATATTTTATTAAATAAAATATATTTTTATTATTTAATATATAGTATCAAGTCGGGCTTGGGCTGGGCTTTTTTGATAAAGCCTGAGCCCTACCCGAAAAAAAGTCAGGTCCGGTGTTTTTTAGTCTTGAGCCTGAGCCCGCGGGCCTAAAATTATGACTTAATAATAGGTCGGGCTGGGCCAACTTGTCAGACTACCCGGCCCATGAACAGGTCTACGTTCTACTTCCACTCTCTGAAATTCTAGCTCTCTTGCTTTCTATCTCTCTATTAGATAAGCAAAAGATAAGGCTTACCCAAAATCTGGATCGTGATAGAGTTTGAACTGTATTAAAATTAGTTTTCCGAGATTACCCTATTTTACCTTCATCTTAAATAATGAGAGTTTCATTCGAACTCTTCCTCTTTATTGTATTTAAACCTTAGCAATAAAATTCACGAGTGTGTGTTGTTTTTCTCACTACATTGATTTTGTTTTACTCTCTTAAGTTTTTTAGTTCTGTTCGGCTACAACCAGCTCATCCTAACTAGCTCGACTTAGCTGACTTCTTCACTAAGTTGAGCGTCAGAGTGCTCTTCCCAGGTAACCACCGTGGGGCATTTGACCTTTTTGTGCTTGTAGGGCATTCTAACTCAACTGGTCTACCTTAGTTTGGATAGTATATCAAACTGACATCGTCTGTGGAAATTAACACAAAAGTCCTTCAGTTCCCTTTTCTCTCCATCTCGATGATAATGCCTCCAAAGAATGTCTCAGACCACTTACACACTCATTCTTCTTCCAGGGGCTCACACTTCATGCATGTCTCATCACCCCGAGAGCTTCAAAATCAGCCAATGATGCAGGAGCAGTTTAACTCCCTCCGCCAACAAGAAGGGTTAAGGGTGGACCAAAATGGATATAGGTGGAAATAGTAAAAATTGATTCTAAAGTACTCTTGGCTAAGACTTGGATGGTGATGAACTGTTGATGATTATTATACATTGGAGAGATATTAAGAGATGGGGGACAGAGCAAGTTACACTACACTTGAGGTCCACTGTCCCTATTACGGATACCCTAGAGTTGTTTGATCCCGTGCCTCTACATTTGCAGCGATATCAAGTGACTATCTGTAGGGGTGCAAAATGGAATGTACCATTATCCGATTCAAATTTGAATCCAATCCTATTTTGTAAGATTTAGATATACCTTAACTGAATTTTTAAATTGGATTAGATTGAAAACTATGGCCCGTTTATATAAAATTTACACTATCGAATCATCGGATGGGATATAAAATTTACATTATTAAATTGAATTTGAATATATCCTGTTTCTGCCTTGGACGAACCGAGGGTAATAAGGTAAATTTGCTTCTGAGTCGAGGGTTGATTGATACGGTTTATAAATCAGGTTTGGTACGGTTTATCTTCTCTCTAAACCCATCCTCTAATTCTTCCACGTTAAGACTTAATAACATGTAATTTTTGAACCTGCCTCGATCATGTAGGATTGGGGAACGAACCCAAACACAATCGGAATGAAGCATCAAAACCCTAACCTGATTAAACCTAACACAAAAATCATCCCATATGATCGGGTCAAAACTGGATTCACCATTTAACCCAATCCATTGACATCCCTAATGCCAATGCTATCAGATAAGATCGTTCGGAAATCCTAAGGCTGCATTTGTTGTCTAGACCGCTAAACCATACCGAAACTAACTGGAATTGGTGGCTTAGTCTGGTTTACTAAATTTTATAAAATAGACCAAATGACAAATCATATTAAACTGAATTATTAATAATACTTATTAATGTATATAATATGTAACTGTTTATTTTTGAAAAAGCGTGAATGCAATTTATATAGTAGTAATAGGTGGCATTTGTTATATGTCAAGTTGATATCTAAATTATATTTGTTATTTGAGCTTTCTAATTGGGTTAAGCCCAAATATGGAAGTAGAGACGATCACACCCTCCATGGATCGATGTGGCCCCCCCACCTTAAATTATATTGGATGAAATGAGGTTAATGGCTCAGTTTTCTTATAGGTTTTTGATGTGTATCCGCTGCACCACTCTAGATATAATGTAGCAGTAATTAAAGAAATTAATGGCTCAGTTTTATATAGGCTTTTCAGAAAAAAAAAATGTAGTAGTAATTAAAGAAGATGAACTGCTGCACCATCTTTTTCCTGCACATGTTGCACAAGCAATCAATTTGTGGTGTATATGGCTAACCCCTGTGTAAAAGTACTAATCTTTATACATGTACCCAGGAATAACAATCACTAACTCATATCTAAGGCCTTTCATGTATACTTTTACCTATCAGGCAAGTAATTACAGAATTCTGATTAGGTTCCATGCCTGTAATAAATCATGGCCCCACTGTAAAAGTTGTGGGCCCTATGCATTTAAATTCTGATGTGAAACTTTATCATTGGTTCCACAACCCACTGAACAGTTAAAGCATTCAGCTAAACCTTGACACATGTTTTAAAACTTATCCATGATTTATTAACGTATTTCTGTCATTTCACTTATCCATTAACGTACCGGATGCAACACATAGGGACTATTAGACACAATTTCAAAGTGTAAGGTACTGTATGGACATGTTTTAAAACTTGACACAACCCCTAAAATACAAGGTACTAATCATAAATTTTCTCTAAAAGATATGTTTTGAAGTTCGGAGACTGACTTGACACAACCCCTAAAATACAGGATACTGATCATGAATTTTCTCTAAAAATTTTGGGTAGTGTTGGGTTGATAAATCTGGGTTTTGGTATCTGTTTGGATCCAGGCCAGGGTCCATGTCTAGGATTAGTGTTGGGTTGGCCTTCAACTTGACCCAACCCATCAAATTTATACCCAAGAGGTCAATCTTTTTAAAGAAAACAATGATAGATTTTATTAGAGAAAATTAAGGGCAAAAGAAAAGGAGTTTTATTATGACTTCTTATATTTTTAATATAAAAATAGACAACCATACTAACAGGAGGTCCGTGTGAACTTTGTGGCGAGAAGATCCTTCACTTCCCCTCATTCTAATACAAATATAGAAGATAATTACATCAAAAAAAGGAGCTTAACATCACTATTTGTTACAAGTTACAGCTGCTACCAAACTTATCAAGTTGTTAGAACATGCAACTTTACATAAGCAATCTAGGAGTGAGGGTAAAACTGTTCCATTGGAAGGGCCGAACCAATACCTGACATTACACAAAAGAAGTTTTCCATGACTTTGTTGTGGAATCGAACTATGTTAATCTACAATAAGAGGGAATCAAAATCAGGGGTTATGATGGCACGCTTGTAGAGCTCTCCTATGACGCAACAGTGTCGGTCTTCGGTATTGATGGCTACGACATCCTGGGCAAAAATACAGTCTGATCCAGAGGAAACCTGCACAAATGACCAGAAATTAGGTAACTCTAGAGAAATGCGTTTCTAATTTCCTCGTAATGATTGTGGGTCACATTATGAAAAAATTTGGTGGGTGTCAAACATGAAAAAATTTATTTTACTTGTGGATCTGATGATGATGTTAGTAGGCAGATCATTACTAAGGTCAGATGATGAAATAGATGGGTTAAATGATAGTAATGCGATGCCTTTAATAGCTCCTAAATAATTCTAGCATTTATTTTCCAATTTCTTATTTTCTCTATAGTATTTTGTGAGGCAAAGGGAGTCTTTCTGTTTCTGTCACTCGCTATTGCTTTGAGGCCTGCAGTAATTGGTTCTTTTCTGCCTCATGGCCAGTTCATATCACAAATCCAACCTGTCCGTTGGTGAATAACAACCTGGAGTAAGAAACTTTCACTCTCAAACAGCCCCATGTGGCACTGTTCATTGAATTTGTTTCAGTCCAGTATTTTTTGATTGGTTGTTTTCAGCCAGTTTTTAATGAATATTACTAAATAAACAATGAAAAACATGACTTTTCCAAGTGGCATAAGGCTATTGAGCTGGAAATTTTTGACGTGTGAAGTGTTTGACATGCAACCATATGGATCCATTTCAGCTGCCACTTCAGCAGCCGCATGTACTAATCATGCAGGTACAAAATTTCAAAATTGTTTTGCTTGAAAAATAGACAGCCTTGTCTTTGTGTGTGTCTGTGTTCAACATTACAACAGAAATATAAGTTCCATATTTTCTTACAAATCAGCAAAAGTCTTATGAAGATATTAGAAAATAATTTCCAAAATTTTCAAATAAGTAAGTTTTTGGGTGAACACACAAGTACCACTAGCAAAGGAGCATGCAAGTGCAACTTCAAAGCAGAGAATAAGGCCTATGGTAGAAAGGAAATGAAGAATTAGATATGTATAACTGGCCCAAAATAAATGGAACAAAGTTGGGTGAAGATGAAAAATAAAAAAGATGCAACAAAAGATAAAGAGGGCCACTACCGTTGGTCCCAGCTATCTGGGGTCTTGGGAATGGTGGACTAGATATCGGCTATGTTACCCAGATATGACAAGGACACAGCTGGACAAGGTTTTGGATATGAAATTTACACTAAAAATTTAAATATCTGACACAATATATTAGCCTTGTACAGGTATCGGAGGATCATGGATATAGGCCTAATCTCCTGCATTAAAGATGCAACTAAGAATGAACAGCAAAATTTTATACGGAACAAGGGGGGAAACATAAAGAAGGAAATAGTAAAGGTCTAGAGATGAGATTTATTTTATGCACTCACATCATAAAGGGTTTCTCCAAGCTTTAGCTTGACAGCGCCACTCTTGTACACCAGCATTTTGCCCATGAAACCAGGAGGCAACTCTTCTAAACTGCAGCCCTGATCTGCAGCACCCACACTCTTCAATGGTTTTGAGCTGCGAGCCATATCTTTCCCCTTTGCACTAGCTGACCGCTTAACTAATGGCAGAGAATCAGGTAGCTGAATGAAGAACATTTTCTGTTCTTCACCTTCCTCCTGCAATTTACAACCAATATAGTTTTACAAGCAATCCACCATTATAACAATATATAGGATTTGCCAGCATTTATTGTGTTTTCACTATCTAAAATTGTATTAATCAAATTATTTACCATCAGTCCAAGCTCTACAGCTGGTTTTATAGTGCTCTCTTCATATGGCAAGTCTGATGAATCCTTCCCAAATTCCTCCTCATCAAGAAGTTCTACAGAAGACAGGACAAGCTATAAGAGGAAATAAAAGGAGAAATAATGCAGCCAGCTAAATGAGGAAAGAGCAATAGAAATAATTTAGCTACATCAGCACTGTGCTTCACATGTTAGTGTAGCAGGAGTAAAACCCCCAGATACAAGGTTGGATGCACATGGCACCTGTTGTAAGAGCATACACAGTCAAACTACCACAGACCCAGTTTAAACCATTCTGAATCAGAACCAAATTAACCTGGTCCAATGACCGATCTGGATCACCCAACAGTAAGTCAGAGCAGAACACAAATAATAATAGATGCTCCTAGATGGAGAGGAGACAATCTCCCCCAACAGACATTTGGGAACAGCTGCTCTCTCCTTTTTCCCCAGTTTCTTTTATATAAAAGACAAAGCCGCAAGGACCTACATTGGTCCGATCTCTCTCCAGAGGGTATATAGTGCAGCTGAGCCCCTCCAGGTGGTCTGGCCACTCCCAAGTTATAGCTTGTGAGTAGGGAACTGATATAATTATACTATATGGCAGGGTGGTCAAGATAAATTTTCATCCTGTACTTAATTAGTGTGGTTGTTTGCCATTAAATAGATGCTGCAATAATAGTGTCAACCATTCGGGGATGCCCCTAACAGCATACCTGGATTTCCTGAGTATGGCCTCCTCAGGGGAAGGGTAACAGGGTAGTAAGTATAGTAATTCTGCAGTGACATCAGGAAAGATCATTTACTAGTAAGTATAGTAACTCTGAGCATACCAGGATAGTAAGTATAGTAATTCAGAGAGAGAGAGAGAGAGAGAGAGAGAGAGGGAGAGGGGTATTAGGTTTACATACCCAGGGTTCAACATACTCTTTCTTCTTCTTCTGGTCTGACTCGTTAGTATTATCTGCAGAATCCCAGGCAAGGTTGTATGCATTAGAACCACCAAGCTTGGCTGTTGAAATCATCAATAGGAAAAGACAATTCTCTTACCATCAGGAATATGAACTTGAGGTTCCACTCTACTGGTGCTGCTGCTACCAGTCCCTCCCCTAGGAACACCAAATGTTCTTATTGCAGGTGATGCACCTCCATAACCAAATGCTACTTGAACCGCTGCAGCAAGTTCAGATGTCAGAAGTGAACTGGTACAAACGATGTATTGAATCACCAAGAAACTTGTTATCTGCTATCCATAGATAGATGTTTTGTTCTGTAGGTCAGACCAAACTCAGGCTTTAACCTTGTGTTTTTCAAATTCCAGCAAATTCTGCAAGGTAATTATTAGAAGTTTTAGAACTGAAATAAGTGGTGCATATAGAATAAAGGACCTTATAGTGACTTTCCAACAGATAATTAACCTTGCAAACAAAAGATCAATTAGGTGTCTGCTTACCTGGTTTGGGTACTTCGACTGACCTACTGGATGGTCCATTAACTATAAAACTTATTCTCCCATGTTTACTATTGTAGAGGAGAGGGCAAAAGAAATCAAGCAACCTGGGTTGATGCCTAAAGTGTTACAACAAAACCTTGTCAAATAGAGGAATCAACAGATAGACCTGTTCATGGGCCGGGTAGCCTGAAGGGCTAGCCCGGCCCGCCTGTTCTTGGTCAAGTTTGGACAAGATCTTAGGCCTGTGGGATCAGGCTTGGGCACAAAACACTAAGCCCAACTTTTTTTGGGGGATGGGCTCAGGCTTTCTCAAAAAGGCCTGGCCTGAGCCCAACCTGATAATATTTTGTTCCTCTTCTCTTTTCTTAATCCACAGTGATATCTTTCAGTATTTTTGGGTTTTGAGGTAAACCAGTTTTGTTGTTGAGTAAAAAAAAAAATCTTCCTGCCCGATATATTGGTTGGGCTTTGGGCTCGGGCCCAGGATTCAGACTTTATATGAGGGCTGGGCTTGGGCTCATGCTCGGGCCTGAACATGTTCTGTTATATAGAGGCAAAGCCTGGCCTGTGAACAAATACTAACTGCAAAATCAAATAACCTATTGTGAAGACCTTGCCTGCACTTACTATTGTCAGCATTTTTCAATTGCCTTATGCATAAAACAGGTAGCTGACTTTAAAATCTAAAGTAGCATTGAATTTCATGAATATCATCATCATCATTATTAACAAAGATCAAAGAAGTGTAAGACAATGGACTTATAAATCCAGTTGATTCAATATGGACCTGGACCAAGTCAGTCTGGTTCAACCCAGTTTACAAGATAATATACTAGGCCAGAATTTAACAAGTGGTTGACAACTGGCCAGTTGGGCTGATATCACTTCTAAAGAATGTTATAGAATTTAAAGAACTAAAAATATTATAAATAGGAGCCCCATACCCACATGGGGCCCCAATACACTTAACAGATCCACGCCTGAGTCTCCTTTCTCTCTTCCCCTCTCCCAACTCTCTCTCTCTCTCTCTCCTCCACCAATTTGATCTCTCCACCACCTTCCTCCCTGGACCTTCAGAGTTCAACCATCACTGCCTCACTGGAGTCCACATTCTTACAAGAGGAATTCATTCAAAAGTAAACATAAAAGAAAGTGGAAAACACCCAAAACCTCAAAGCTGATGAGCTAAGGGAGATGAATATACAACAGAGAAGCTTTACACACAGACACAGAGAGAGTGGGTGAGGGGAAAGAAATCAAAAAATATATGGAGGATGGATCTCCGGAAAAACATATTTTTTTTTGACGGACATTAGAAGGCAAGAAACATAAAGGGGACTCCAGTGAGCCAGAAGGGGACATCCAACCAACCTATTCTATTAGAAATGCTGAGAATGTTTCCTAGAATTACATAGGCAGCCAAGTTAGAAGTTCTAGGAGAGAGGTAAAAAGCAATGGACACAAAATGGTTAGTGAGATCCCTAATGTCTTCCAAAAACATGCAAGCAGTAATTGGACAGGGAGCCTTCTTATTCATACTTAAGGGCCTCTATGTCAGACTTGGCACCACTTTCAGCCAGCAGGCATTCAAATCTATTTGCAATTGCATGCAATATGCCAAACTTGATTGCCTTCATTACTCACCAAAGAATCATCTTTGAGGGAGCCACTGCTGCTACCACAAAATTGCTGTCCAGGTGGTGGAAAATCCAACCATAACTGGTCTAATTGCCAAAATGGAGGATAGCAAAGTGTAGCAATTTAAACCGTTCATTTATCAAAAAAAAAGTTGCAATTTAAATTGTGAAATTTGGAGGGGTGGGGTCAGTAAGGCTGTTGTTAGAGATCCTGGTCACTTTAAAAGTTTGGACTCTATTGTGATGGGCTCATCTCCTATTCTATAAGCCTCCTCCAACTTCTGCAACATGGTTAGGATTACAGAAAGCAGAGTCTACTTCTGAAAGACTAGAGCATCACAAACTTCCAGATCTCCCAATTAACAGCATGCAAGCCTCCAACTCCTGCTGCTCCTCTTTACTTCAATCCCTCCATGGGTTCCAGTTGAGAACCTTGTAAGCAACAAAGTTCAGAGAACACTCAGTAGACAGGGGAAAGGAGGAATCCAACCAAACTACTTGGACTGTTGGGCAGTGGAAGATCATCTGAAAACTGGTTTCAGCAGCCTGGGCCCCACATATCTCAGGCAGGGTTTACAGTTGCCATCTTTCTCTTTTGTAAATTAATATCAATGGTGATTGCTTCAGAACAATAAAATTCCTAACTTTTTAGGGAATATCCAAACTCCACACTTCCCATGCTTGGAATGATCAAAAGATATCCCAAATATATGACGGGGGTCATATTTGGAGGGGATGCTGTTATGTCATGGAGATTGGACAGACATATTAATAGTCTTTTACTTAGTAGATAACAGAAGAGAGAACTATTCTATTGGACCATCATGTTGTGAAGATGATCAATCAAGTATCTGTGATACTTGAATAACACAGATAAATGACAGTAGAGCTTATGTCTTGCTCTCAATGAACAAAAATGATATTCACTAAAAGCATGCTTATTGCCATAAGAAATGGAGGGGTTTTTTGGGACAGCTAACTATAGATTACTAAAAATAATAGGCAGAGGTATACAAACCAAGCCAAGGCTGTGGCAGGAGGTTCTACTAGAAAAGAAGGAAAGAAAGAAGAAAGAAGATATCCCCCAACCTAACATAACAATCCAGCTCCTCCAGCCCCAAGTAGTACAACAAATAAAGAGATACAGCCTGTTATAAAAGGCAAACTCAAAGCTGAAGTAAGTCACTTCTTGAAATCCTGAAATGGTTGCATTTCAATATGTTCTTATCAACCATAAATGGCTCCATTAGATGGTGAATTTGTTGTATGGATGGATTAAACCTTACTCCAATGGCCTGATGTCACCCATTGAAATGCATTATGAGGTGAGTTTTTCTCCTCCTTGGGACATGTATTGCGAACCAGGCATAACCCAACCTAGTTCAAAAGAAAATCAAATAATCTAATTATATGCCAGCACTAATTATATTAGCTTCTGTTAATTTAATTCCATTTTCCTAGGACTTAATTTAATTCATTCAGACATCCATCAGGTGAACATCTTGATGTGAAGCCTTACTTCAGATAGAACAGGCTCATTATCTATGAAATAGCAATTCATTAATAAATTATATAGCAATATGCTTTGATCATTTTAGAGCAAGTATTCTCTGGCTTCTGCAACTGTTTTGCACAATTCACTAAATTTATGATGACAAAGGAGGCAAAACTAACAACACAATAGAGGGCACAAAGGTCAACCAGTAAACTTTTTTTTTACCTATATAGATCCTTACTGATTGAAAGGAACAATAAAATACCTAATTCACCACAGTCTACTACCTTAAACACCAAACCAGAAAAGCACTGAATTTTTAACAATCTTAGGCCATTTTGAATGTTGCACAAAACCCAGAAACACAGATTTGAATGGTACAGTAAAGTGAAGCTAAAAAACAAAGATATGAGAAGCAAGAGATGAGAAAAAAAAAGCAGAGCAACACATATTTAGGTTTTTCGGCCTTTGGCCCAAGTCAATGGGCAATGGAGAATACAAAGTTATCTGCCTCCACACATAGAGAACCCTAAACCCCCAATACAACCCGAAGCACTCACTCACTCCCTTCTTATTCAAGTGCCAATGAGATACATATTTGAGCAAACCCTAAGCAACATAACATATTCGAGTGTATAGCTCTCAGGGGTCTGACCCCTGTTATGTATCTGTATACCTCCTTTTGTACATCTTTCTCTTTTTAATGAAATCAGTTAATTTTTCTCAAAAAAAAAACATAACATATTCGAGTCAGCCCCATAAGCAGAAAATAGGTTGGGTTGGGTCCGAACCTTCTGCATCCACCACAACCCTCAATAAATTTTCTCTTTGGTTGTGGTGTAAATGTACTTTTACACTGTTGGAGTTATACACTGATAGGTTTAAAAGTTATGCTCGATGTAAATGGAAACCAGGATTATTGATGTAAAACTCAATTTGAGTGGATTTTTACATCGATTTTTGGTGTTTAATTACGCTACAAAACCGGATCAGAGTGTAATATAACACTGGTTTGGTATTTTCACCGCAAACAAGTGCAGCCTTTAGGTTTTTCTCCACAAATGTCGGGTCAGAGAGCAGGCCACAAACAAAAATCAAGGTTTTTAAAACCGAAACACACAACGAACCGGTCAGGGGTCCGGTTCCTGGGTCAAATGGTCCGACCGTTCGAATCGAACAGATGGCCCATTCTGACAAAAAAATAAAAAGATGGCCAAAACCGTTGGACGGTTCAAACGGTTTGACCGCCTAGGTCAGTGGTTTGCTGATTAAATCAACAGTTTTTGGCGAAATAACAATTCTGGGGTAAAACGGAACCTGACCGGCTCCCAGTTTTTCCGGTCCGATCCGGTTTTCAAAACCATGCAAAAAATCAAGGCACAACTCAACATTCAAATTCAGGGTTATGACTGGTTTTGGCCCTTTTGGGCGACAAAGTCTTAGGGGCCGTTTGGTAACGGCAGAAGTTGCTGAACTGAATGATTTATTGTTTTGTCTTTTAGTAAATAGAATAATTAAATAATAAAATACTAAAGGGTATAGTAACCTACCCCGACATCCTTAAAATATCATTCTTCAACCACTTCATTTGTTATCAAACGGCCCCTTAGTAAGTTCAATCATACAAGGTTGGCATAGTCGGTATCAACAATTTGGTTGGCATACCCAATAACAGTGCTAAGAACTTTCCCTCAACTTTCACTTTTTTTTTCTCTTATTTTCTATCAAACCAAACATAGTCTTAAGTTCCCCTGGGGATTTTTTTTTGTGGTGGTGGGGGGCGGATGGCTCCCTTCTGCCACCCCCTGGCTCCGCCCCTGCACCAACCTGAGACGGAGCAAAGCAAAGGAACAAGAAAACAAGAAAGATAAACTACGTATGGAAATTTCAGGATATCTATTAAATTGAGCCAAACAAGAAAGAGGGGCTGCGGAATCAGTAGAGAAAGCACTTACGTTTCTTTTCAACTTTAGGTCCTCGTCTTGCCGAAGCTTCCTTTTCAGTTCAGAACAATAAATTCAATACAAACCATTAAATTCCAGAAAGATTGAAGCCTAACTCGTCATTTAAATCCGTAAAAGGGAAAGAGAACAAACAAAAATAGAAGTAAGAAGAAAGTACGTTGACACGGCGAAGCAACTCCCTGGACTGGGCAGCTTCCGCGTCCTCCACAACTTCACTGCAAATGTCAGAAAGAGTAAAACCCAAGATCTTTCAACGATATGAACAAATTCAAGAAACGGGTACCTAAGGAAACAGCTTCAGAAGTAATACAAGTTGAAGATTACGTTTTGGTTTCAATGGGTTTGTGCGTTCTGCGAGGAGGGGCTTTGGGTGCATATCTGACCTGCCAAAGATAAAGGAAAAATCACGAAATTAAATTCATAGGCTTTGAAGATAAGCTCCGCCATTTCCACACTATAAATTGGGGTGAAAAAATTAGAATGAAAAATTGAGAAGTGTGGTGAGAAAAAGATTAAACAAAGACCTTCCTAGTAGAACGAGCTTGGGTTCCAGATGGTTCTTGCTCCATTTCCGCTTTGTAATATTTGTCTGGACTGGATTTTCAGGAAAACTTTAGAAATGCATGAGAGAGAGAGAGAGAGGGAAAGAGAGAAGAGAAGGGTAGTTAATGAAGTTGGGAAAAGGGAGGAACCCAAGGCCAGGGGTTTTATACGAAACCGCGGTTTGTCCAAATGAAAAAGGCCTGAGAAAACTCCGCTGTCCCAAAGCTAAAAGTCCACGTCAGGTCAGTCCTGATTTTGTTTGGCACCAGGAATTTATGTGCTGCTGAGTTTTTACGAGATCGGATCAGTAGATCATAAAAACGTGTGTACAATAACATCTATAGCCGCACATCGGGAACATCTCTTATCCTATCATAATCATTCACCGGAGATATTTTCAATATGCGGCATTAGTGTTATCTACACACGGATGTGATGAGCGTATTGTGGTAAATGGATCCACGTTCAGTTTATCAGTGTCACGTTAGAAAAAATGATGCTCCTTATATGTTGTGAAATTGTTTTTCCACAAAAAGTGGTACTCCAGGCCATGCCTTCAAAATTGAGAAAGCATGGTTTGGAGTAATGTTGAATTTGACATTTCTTGGAGCTGTAATTTATTGTTGCCAAGAGACATGAGGTAATAGTGATAAGGACATGACATGGCACTAGATAATAGGTATAAGTGCTAAAAACGTTTCTTGGAGCATTTGTATCAAACAGAAAACATTGCTATTGCTCTAGGAAACATCCCACCTGGCAATACTGTTTTCCAAACAAAAAAAAAAGATATCATTTTCTGACATCAGCAATACTGTTTTTTGAGAAAAATGTGTTGTATCTACAACATCGATGACAAACATATACATAATTTATTTTTGACAATTTTTTTTTCGCTACCAATACTCGGTTTACATAATTTATTTGAGACCGGATCTACTCCTCACACATGACACCTCACACTGACCTCAGGCACATCCCACCGTACATTGGGAATATCTTTCCTACTTATGTGTTATTATTTAGGAGAAATGTTCCTAATACACGGTGAGATGTACCTGTGAGGTCGTCATGATGAGGCACCTTGTGTGAAGAGTAGATCCCAATTCAATTTATTTTGGTTGTCTTAAGAAAAATGTGAGCTAGGTGTTGCTACTTGCTAGTAAGTTCGGATCTGCTCCTCACATAACCCTCCTGACACCAACCTTACAATGAATCTCAGTGGGTATGACACCAACCATACATAAATAATTTATGTATATATGCATGGATGTGCTAATAGAATCAAGCTCATGAGCTTTCAAACCAAACTTTTTATTAATCTACCTTGAGCTTGAATAATTAATCGAACTTACCCCAAGGTTAAAACTCTATTTGAGAATCGAACTTGGCAGATGTGGATCTGTTACTTAACCAATTTGGTAAGATCCTACTTATCAGAAAAAAAAACGGTACCATACTCTCCAATTTTATTTAGATTTAGGGGTGTCAATGGACCAGGTTTAGATTGGATCCATCCGAATCAAAACCAATTTGAAAGGGTCGGAAGGTTCAATATGACATGTTGAATTGGAGCAGTCCAGACTGGTCCAAAATAATTATTGGATCGGATTGGGCCTGATCCATCTGTAATGGATTTATATTGGATTAATTTGGGTTGAACCAATATCCGGTCCATTATTGACAGCCCTCATCCATCCACCTCTCTCTCTCTCTCTACAGAAACACGGATGGTGGCCGATTCAAACTTTCACACTTCCAACCCCCACAACCTAAAGAGTCACCAGACCGTAATAAATTAACTAGGAAATATCGATCTCATGGTTCATGCTATTCTTTCTTGCTACCAAATTCTTGGTACCAAAAAACGAGCTAACATTATGTTAAAATCCCATTTATGGAATTCTAGCGCAGCACATTTTACATCAAACACTAACCCAAAGGCCAAACCATTCATCCTCCTCTTGCTTCCAGCTTCTCGTAAAGATGTCGAAAACCAACAATAACTCCATTAATGGTGCTACAACAAACCACATCGACAGTATTATTAGCACTACCACCTGTGATTGTGAGCCAAGAAGGCCGGGGAAGGCAACTGTACTGGCACTAGGCAAGGCCTTCCCCAGCCAACTCATCCCACAGGAATGCTTGGTCGAAGGCTATTTCCGAGACACCAAATGTGATGACTCCGCCATTAAAGAGAAGTTGGAGCGTCTGTGTAAGCAGCCACTTAATCTTTCCTTGAGAATGCAGATCATCATCATGTCTTGTGCCTCTGTAACATTGACATTCATCTTCTTAATTTTCTAATTCCGTCCTTTCTCTTTTGATCATTCATTTACTAGGCAAGAACACCACTGTGAAGACGAGGTACACAGTCATGTCCAAGGAGATCCTAGACAAGTACCCAGAACTGACAACAGAGGGCTCACCGACGATCAAGCAAAGGCTCGAAATAGCAAACCCAGCAGTACTGGAGATGGCACTGGAAGCAAGCCTTGCCTGCATCAAGGAATGGGGGAGACCAGTAGGAGACATCACCCACATCGTCTATGTCTCCTCCAGCGAAATCAGATTACCAGGAGGAGACCTCTACCTGGCGAGCGGGCTCGGCCTGCGCAGTGACGTCGGTCGTGTAATGCTATACTTTCTTGGCTGTTACGGCGGCGTCACCGGCCTTCGCGTGGCCAAGGACATAGCCGAGAACAACCCCGGCAGTCGCGTTCTGCTAACGACATCAGAGACTACCATCTTGGGCTATCGCCCTCCTAACATGGCACGCCCTTACGATCTCGTTGGTGCTGCTCTGTTCGGCGATGGCGCTGCAGCACTCATCATCGGGACAGACCCAATAAGTCAGATAGAATCTCCATTCATGGAGCTCAACTTCGCAGTGCAACAGTTCTTGCCAGGGACGCATAACATAATTGATGGTCGCCTGTCCGAGGAGGGTATAAATTTCAAACTGGGGAGAGATCTCCCACAGAAGATCGAAGACAACATCGAAAGCTTCTGCAGGATGCTCATGGAGAAGGCCAATCTGAAGGAGTTCAACGACCTGTTCTGGGCTGTTCATCCCGGGGGGCCTGCAATACTAAACCGCCTAGAGAGCTGTCTCAGTCTGAAAGCAGACAAGTTGCAGTGCAGCAGGAGGGCATTGATGGATTATGGGAATGTGAGCAGCAATACCATCTTCTATGTCATGGATTACATGAGGGAAGAACTGAAGGGGGGAGGTGGGGAGGAGTGGGGGCTAGTGTTGGCATTTGGGCCTGGGATCACCTTTGAAGGCATCCTTGTTCGTAGCCTGCTGCAATGATATGTGCCAAAAGCAGACCCTCAAAAATTTCTTCAAGGTTTATTGTTGTTTGTCTCTGGGGTTGGATTATGTTTTATAGAGTTGATGCATCAATTAGTACTCATGTTGATGACCTACATGTGCTGTGAACAAATTAAATAGACATTATCATAAAGTTCTCTAGTAAAGAAATTCTGTGGCTCAATATTTCAGAATTTTCGGTATCATCCTAAATACTCTCATTGAACATCATATCCCTTGTTAAAAGACTTTTCTGTTAATAGTTACACAAATAAGAGAGAAATAGTGAGAATGAACTTATGGGCTTTTAGAGGGGTCGAATGACCATCTCGACTACTAGGTCTTTGGCAAATGTTTGTAGTTTATAATAATAGAATAAATGGTTATACATATTAAGTGTTAGGTTGGGGAGAACGAACTCATTTTCTCTTGATTTGGCAAGATATCAGATTGGTTGGTATGAAGATAGATTTGGTGACATGTTATATTAAAACTTAACTAAGATGGGCATTTTGGTTCATTCAAATTCAAAGACGAGTCAAATTTCTAAGTGTTGAAGAGTAAGTATTTAAAGTTTGAAGAATTTTGTGATGTTAGGGGAGCTCACGGTTTGGTTAACTGATTGACCGGTTTCTATTTTTGATCGATTCAGTTCTTCAGTTTTTATATTTATTTATATATAATATATATATTAAAAATATATATAATATACATAAATGGTACCCGCGTTAAATATAATTGGATTTGGGCATCAGATACCACCGTAAGATCAAAATCCAAATCCATCCCAAGCCCTATTGGATTTTGATAAATGGATCCTATTAGGGTCAGAACGAGGTGAATACCCAAATATTCCTGCAAAGTTATTATCGTTAAACCCATTATATTCATGTAACATATGAACGTATTACAGGTGTGATGCAATATGTTAGGAAGGGCAGGGCAGGCCAGGCCAGGCTACATCTGCATATAATACCTAGGCCCAAGCCCGGAAATTTCTGGTCCAGGTTTCATCATCCCTAGTGGTGTTGTCTTGCCATATGCAACTTCTTAAAACTGTTAGAAGAGGCTTTATTGTTATTTGTTAAAACATTGGAATTCAATTCCATGAATTTCTTCTTCATTCTTTATTTTAGACAAATTTAGGAGGTTGGGGTGGGGATAGGCAGGGTGAAGGCATGAATCGGTCCTAGGTAGGTTAGTGGGAATTACATCCACTAACTTTATCAGCTGAGCCAGCCAGTACTTTCCAACTCCATGGATTTGATTTGATCTAACATAGAAGAGCAAACTTGAAATGATGCTTATGACTTGTGAGAAAGAGGGTTATACACTTTTACCTTGCAAGCCATGGATCTCATATTTGGTGGGACCATCCAGCTCAGTTCCTAATGCCACTTAACTTTGTCACTTTGCTGTTAATATCAGAGACAGTGAAGGATAGAAGTGATGAGTATCCCTTCTGCACAAAAAGGTCACTGTGATTCTGGAGTTAGCTAGCTACTAACTGTTATCAACTCCATGCATGTATAATAATAGGTTATTGATTATTCCAAAGAATTCTTCTGCAAAAACTGGGTAGAGAAGATAAGTCATCCTAATCAATCTTAGTGAAATCCCAACAAGGATAGCCCAACTCATGCCTTATTATATAATCAACAAAATGAAAAAGATGATTTAAGTCATAATTAATAGAGTTACTTATGTAGCCTATAATCATTCATGTTGGCATGGTGTAGATCCCAATATTTGCTAGTGGGTTATTAAAAGCTTAAATTCACTGTATTGCACATGTAAAAAGATCCCATTTACCTGTTCTCTTGTCCCTTGTTATGATTTATTTTTGACTCATGTTGAAAACCCTATCTTATCAACTATGAAGGTAAATATTACCACTCCATATGCTTGTAATGTCTAACCAAAAAATCCAAGTCCCAATTGTTACCAACAACATATGCAATATTCTAACAATAAAAATAGAATGATTAATAGTTAACAGGAATTCATAATTCATGCTTTCTCAAACAGCAATGATCCTATTTCAGGCTGTCTTACAACATATGGTGGCAAACCATACATCAGAAATGAAAAAGGGCAGCCCAACACATGAGGTTCCCACCAATGCGGGGTCTTGAGGGGGGCAGATGTATGCAGCTTTACCCTTGACAGTTTTTGAGATTTGAACCGTGGTCATCCAAGTCACAATGGAGCAACCCAACTGTCATGCCAAGGGCTTCCCTCAACCCATACATCAGAAAGTAAGAAACTAAAATGTTAGAGTTTCTTAATGAACATGGTCTAGATATGATGGTCATCCATATGAGAATTTCAACTATCAGACTTTTTTGCTTAAGAAAAGACCAAGTAGGTCTAGACACGAAATGAGCTTTTCACGAACTATTTGAGCTCCACTCGTGAAAAGTTCGATTCGGCTTGGTCTAAACTGAGCTTCAAGCTGAGCTTGAGCCCAATAAAGCTTATCTTGTGAGGCTTGCAAGTCTAATCGATCTTTTACACACATATAAATGAATATATATATATATATGTGTGTGTGTGTGTGTGTGTTTATTATATATAATAATAACTATGTAAAACAAAAAATAGTTTTTCATATGTATAATTTTTTATTTTTATAGAAAGTTTGACTCATAGTCAAATTTGAGTCGAACCGAGCTCAAACTTATAAGCTTTTGAGTCGAGGCCTCATAGTTTCTTAGCGAATTGAGCTTGAATAACCAAATATTGGGCTTAGCTCGGCTCAAATCCACCAATAGGTAGGTAATGTGGCCAATACCACTATAACATATCTCGTTAATGGACATCAATGAGAACCATTCACCATTATTTTCCTTATTATATGGATGACCATGATGAACCCATTGAGTCAATATTCAAAGAATGCCAAAAGAGAAACCAACTATCAAGTATCAAGATTGAAAAACCAAGTGTCAGCTTCTCTATGGTGTATATGGGTGAGCAGGAATGTATGAATCTCAGCCCACTCAATCTCTTGTATATAAAATCAAAGTTAGGGTAGCACATGAAGTCATTAGCAATGTGGGTGTCAAAATTATTCTACTTGACTTGATTATTAGTGACCAACAACTGGTTATGAGATAACATGCCATCATCATCATATGCAATTACTTGCTCCTCAACTCAAATCCAAAAACTATCTCAAGTCTATACCTCTAGTTGTTACCTAAATTTTGAGATGTCAAAAATAGACCTTGGTCCTCACTAAGGTTCAACACTTAACCCTTATTTATTTGCACTGATCATAGATGAATTGACTAAACATATTTAGGAGGTGCTAAGGTGCATGTATGTTCACTTATGGTATCGTTTTAATTGATGTAACTAATGAAGGATTAAATGTAACATTCAGTTTATGGACAAATATCTTAGAAACAAGTAGATTTAAAATAAGTAGGACTAAAATAGAATATATGATATATCAATTTAATAATAATAGGAGTGAAAATCAGGGTACATAAATTGACTTAAAAAATACCTTAAGTTTTTCAAAAAGACTTAGATATATCTTGTGACTCATTTATCCTTCATATTCTTTCAAAATTATACTTTGAATTTTTCAAATCCATGTGGGTGGTGGGCATATCAATAAAAAAAATGCCAAAGCACAATAGATCTCTAACCCCCAAAAATAGGACGAGAAAAAGAAAATATACAAATATAGAAAAAATGTGGCAGTGTCAATTGAAATTTTGTTAGTTTCTCTATGACTCCATCTTATCTTTAGCTCCAACTTGCATGAGGGAGAGAGAGAGAGAGAGAGAGAAGAAGAAGAAGAAGAAGAAATGTGCTAGTGTTAATTTCTTCTAGGAAAAAGGGATAGAACTTGAAAGTTGAAACAATAGCTTTGTTAAGAGCGGATAAATGCTATGTGAAGAGCACTTGAAAGAATTAGTTGTGTAGATTTAACGCAGTGATACACAGGGTATTACTCAAAACAAACCTCTTGCTAAGTGCTCTATGAAGAGCAATGATAGAGATCTAGAACAAAAAAAAGTAAGAAGATAGGGAAAAGATAGAGAAAGAAGGCTACAGAAAATCAAAACTCAAACTCATGTCGTCGGCGAGCTCAGACGATCAAGAGGTGGATAGAGTACAAAAAGAAAAGGAAGGTTGGAATGGAGATGAGATTAGGGAAGAAGACGTGGCAAAGGGGAAATGTATGGAAAGCGTGTTTGGGAGAATAGTAGCAAATAAAAAATGAATGCAAAAAGAGTGTTAGGAAGGGTGAAAAACTTGCTGCTATTGGAAAGTGTTACATGCCTTAGGAGAACTCGCCCCTAAAAGCTAGCTATTAGAGGGAGGGAACCCAGACACATATACACCCCACAACGGCATCTCATACTACCAATGTGGGACTAATGGATTGTAATATTTCACCACGCTCCGCAGCCCCGACACTCACATAGGCTGGCTTTGCACTAGTCCCCCTAGTCTCGGCCGAATACTACAATACTGACGTCACCACTTGCGTCACACGATTGCAATTGGGAGGCATAGTGTAAGCTCTGATATCATCTCTTACATGCCTTAGGAGAACTCGTCCCTAAAAGCTAGCTGTTAGAGGGAGAGAACCTAGACACATATACACCCCACAATGACATCCCATACTACCGATGTGGCACTAATGGGTCATAAAAGAAAGAGGATATAAAATGAAGATGCTTAGAGGTGGCATCCTTTGGTTTAGGTTGAAATTGATGGAGGATAAAATTATGTTCTTGAAAAAGGAATTAATGTTGGCTGATCAAGGAATATTCATTTCTGCCGAAAGAGTGGGAACCGGAGTTAAATCCCCAAACTATGTTCATGAACAAGATTCTAGCTAAACCTTCTGGTGTTGGAGAGAATTTGGAAAAAAAGATAGAGGGGATCAAGAAAATCTAGAGGATTCTAAAATAGGCCAGAGCTAGATATGGGCTCGGGTAATAGCAAAAAAAAAAAAAAAAAAAAAAAGAAGCAAACTTGATAGAGTGGACTCAAGTGATGAAGAGAGTGGAGAGGAATCCAAGAGAATGAAGGAAATCCAAAATCCGGATTTGAATGAGGTAGAGTGTGTCCCAGAAACTCAACTGATGTTTGAAGACAAATTGCATAATAACCATTATGAACAAGTGGAAGAAGTCTCATCGAGCTTTGAAGATTACATGAGAGGCATCTATGCAAATAGTGGAAGAAAACTTCAGACGTCCAAGAGTTGGGATACATTTGGATCCCCAAATAACCAAAAGCATAAAAGATGGAGGCAATGAGCCAAATGCAGAAATGGAGGTATGCTCAAACAACTCAAGATTTTACTTCATAAAATATTTGCCTGTTATACAAAAGAAATGTTTTTATTGGGGGACATAAATAATCTTGAAGGTAAGTAAAGAAAGATTGCAATTAGTAAAAGACAGAAAATGGGAACAAAGAAAAAGAAAAGGAAGGAATAAAAGAAAAAGTTTTTTAGAAAATTTAAAAACAATGAAGTGGAAGCTTGTAAAAAAAAATCCATAAAAAGGGAAAAAAAAGAAAAAACAGATTATTTCAGTTTCTCGAAAAAGATTGCCAGTGAGAATTAAAAGTTTCAAGTTTCATGAGAGAAAAAGGAGCTTCTTTGTTCTTGGAAATACTATTATTAGTGAATTTGTCCT